CTGAACTCATGGGCTTTGTGGTCTTGTATCATATAGGAAGAGCTCACGGGCACTGATTGTCATCTGCTGAATTTTTATTTGATTTAGCCAAGAATCCTGCTAAAGGTTTTAATGTAGGCATCCTGTTCTACATAAATTCTTAGTGATTCTCATATTCCATAGGAAGAATAAGTTACCAAGTGATGTTTTTTGGGGGTATGAAATGATCCTTCCATGGCAAGGCTCTTAATTTTCAGTGTGTTTATACTTGGGATCTTGCCTCAGCTTCTTGAAAGCTGTTTATGAAGCTCCCTCCCCCACTCATACTAAGGTTTGAACTCAAGGTCTCATACTGCCTGGCTCTACCCTGTGAGCCATGCTTCCAGCTCTTAAGATGGTGCTTCTTTTCAAAAGAAGTCTTGATAATGTAGGTGGAGGTGCAAAGGAAGCAGACTGGACTTTGAAAGTGATAGATCTTAAGAGTTCTGGAGTAGGGAAAGAGAAAGGACTTTTTCTACTCTGTTGTAAATGTGAGTTGGTGGCCCCTCTCCCTTCCCTCCCTTTTCCCTTCCTCACTCTCTTGTCTACCTGCATCATACTACAAAATGTGCCTTACCTGTACAAGTTTACAGGTAAAAGGATTTCTCAAAAGACAGAAATCTCTGTAACAAATTAATGGATGTAAAAGCTTGTTTGTACATGTTGTTAACTTTCAACTGCCCTTAACAATGGGAATCAGAATTGACTGAAAAATCAGATGATCCAAAATGGTATTTGGCTTTCTCCTCTTGAAATAAGGGTACTGGGCTTAATCAACATGCCTTGTCCTCACAGCCATTGTGGTGCCTAGCTGGGTGAGGGGGGCTTTCCACCCAGCTCCAAAAAGCCTAGAGGTGAGATAAGAATTGTAGATACTTACCTCCAGAACGCTGCTTCAGAGAATGGGCAGAAGGCATGCTGTTTAGCCCCCCCCGTAAAGTTTTGCTCCAGGGAATACTTTTCCTTGACTGTTCCTACCACAAGCAGGTGGTTTTTGCCTTTAAAAACTTTGGGCATGACATTTCTGGGCTGCAGGTTTTTGAGACAGGAGTCCATTTAAGTTGTGGGCTAATAAAGACTCCCACGTTGACCTCTCAAAATGTAGCTTCTCTTTCCTGTTATCAAATTCCCATAAAATACTGACCAAAATCATTCCAGCTTCCTATTTTCCTCTTCTCACCTTATAGAGAGGTCACTAGTAACACAGAAGAGCTACAGATGGGCAGCCAAATAGAAGAAACAGAATGCCTGTCTAGGCTTTTGTGAAAGACACAGGAAGAGACTGGAATGAAAATACTTCCCCTCCTTTAGCTGCGGGAAACCCAGTCCTCTTCTCTCCGAGGTTCTGACAAATGCTGAGACCAACTGGGGCAGCTTACAGGACCCAAACAGCACCTTTAGGACAAGACGAGACGAGACACAGCGAAGTACACTTTTTGTTTAATTTCATGCATTTGTGTTTGCGTTGATAGTCATTCTTGTTCCCACTGCTGTTCAACATAAAGGGAGCCAGTATCAAAACACTATAGGGAACTGACAGTACAGGAGATGACAAGGGAGACAGAGAAGGGGATTCATTTTGAGACTTAAGACACACACACACACACACACACACACACACACAGACACACATTTCCTCTAAATGAATAGGAATTTAAATCTTATAAAGAATCAAGGAGGGTCTTCCTGTTCCCAGAATCTGGGAAGTGGTCACTCGGGAGGTGGGAGGCCACTGGGGTGGCTTCACAAGAGGTGACATCTTCCTGATTGTGCACTGTGGCTTGTAAGCACTGGAGGACCATAGGCATTGAACAAAGCAGTGGGGGGCCCGAAGCCAGTGATCCTCTGAGTGCTGAGAAGTGGTTCTGTAGAGCAGATTCTGCTGGGAGCTTCTTATAGTAGCCTTGCCATCTACTTGGTGCTAGGCTTGTGAAATCTTGCCTTCATGCCAGGGCCACACAGCTATCAACTCCTTTCTCAGAGCAGTGGTGTCAGAGCTCCCTTCTTCTGCCATGTCCCTGAGAAATGCTCCAGATTCCACAGTGGCCCTCCACTTAGCGGCCTAGTGCATTATGATTCAAACAGGCATTTGCAGTATAAGTCATATCATGCAAACAAGCCAACTCACGACTGTCTTAGGCCAGCCTAAGAGGTTGGTAATACAGAGTTGTGAGTCCCCTGGGACATTTGTTCTAGGACCTCAGCAAAGAAAAACCTTGCTGCCTGGAAAGGCACTAATTCATACTGACAGTACAAGACAATGTCTTGAAAAGAATATCACACATTAGTTTCACAGCAAACTGGAGAGGAAGCAAGTAGCTGGGGCTCCATACAAAAACTGTTGCTACAAGGTGGGGACACAATTGTTCAACAGAATGTGAATGACCAGACATTCTGAAATTCAGTTCATCAGGCATTGGTGGCTACTCAGTTGGAATTACAGTTCAGAGTAGAGGCAAGTAGCTGTTGCGTCATGGGACTGTCCCTCCAGCAATCTTAGGTGGTGGGGTGTATAAAGAAAACACACGAGCTCTTCTCATTCTCCCCTCGGGGAAATGGAAGATCTCAACCACCTTCAGGAAATGAATTATGAGCTTAGAACTGAGATGGCAAACAGATTTTGCTTTGCACACCAATCCAATCCAGCAACAATGGATGCGCTAAATGGCAGGTAGTAAGAAGTTCTGAGGCTGTTCCCAGGCTCAACAGGAAAGAATGTGATGCTCGATAAATGATGTTCTTCTTGGGTGTTTAGGACAGAGGTGGAAGATGGGCGTTATATGGTGGTATCTTGGTTTCTGGCCTAGTGGAAAAACTAATCTTATACCATGGGATAGGGGAAACATTCCCTACATTCCACATAGGTTCTGTGCTTGGCAATCCAGTGTCGGGAAGGTCAAGTAGGAATGTTTTAAGAAAAGGAAAAAGAGCCAGGTGCTGTTGGTGCATGCTTGTAATCCCAGCTACTCAGGAGGCTGAGATCTGAGGAGGCTCATGGTTCAAAGCCAGCCAGGGCATAAAAGTCTCTGACACTTTTATCTCCAATTAGCCACCAAAAATCTGGAAGAGGCTCAAGCGGTAGAGTTCCAGCCTTGACTGAAAAAGCCAAGCAAGGGTACAAGGCTCTGAGTTCAAACCCTGGTGCTGGCATACACACACACACACACACACACACACACACACACACACGCAACAAGCATGGGGGAAGGGGAAAGCCAGAGCATTTGATGAGTAAGTGTACATTCACACTGAGAGGATATCCCATGCTACCTAGTAGGGAATAGGACTGAAAACCTAGTCTAGTACCAGGATGACCACAAACCATCAGGATAGAGAAGTTATTTAGTTCAATGAGGCCCTGAAGTAAATGCCCCATATGTACTAAAGCCCATGAAAAGTGTTCTTAATCCTAGAAGGATAAATGTATTGAGAAGTTTTAAACACACTTGAAGGCCATCTGAAATGATTTCCCAACCCAGCTAACATCTTCATCTTTCTGGGTAGTCTTGCAAACAGCTCTAAGCTTCCGTGTGGTAAGGCTTCTCCTTTGCTAAGCAATTTTTAAGAGGAATTATTATTCAAGGACAGGCTCTAGAAAAAGAAATTAAAAGCAAATGTTCATCTGGGATACAAATAGAATTTCATCTTGCAGCTTGTCAAAAACAGACACTCAATGAATATGGACATTCATCCAAAGAGGCTTACACTTATAATCAGTCATGAAAAATTGAAATCACAGTCTTATGGGCTCCTCAAAGCAGTATCACAGCTGAACAGGACTGAAGAACTGGCTCTTAAATTCCCTGAGCTCTTGATCTACACTTCTGATGACTGTGCAGCTTTTCTCTAGCAACACAAATCAATTGAAGATTTTCCTGATTTTCCCAAGGCAGGCAGTGAAAGACAGGTTCGGGATAGAGAGTTTGTTAACTTTTAACCTTGACTGAGGACATCACTCTTCTTCAAAACTTCTAGTCAATTCTACTTAAAAAGTGTTTAATGTGGACACTATTCAAATCTTGACAATGTAGTGAACGAAAATCCAACACTACTTCCCTAACATGCACAGAGTCGTTAATCTAGATAAAGTGACATTAACATGGCAGACAGTCAAGATCGGAATGCAAAAAAACTGATCAACATTGGGAGTTGTCAGGGGTAGGTTTTCTAGGAAGACCATCACTGAAATGTGTAAGACAGAATAAGTTGATCCTCATGTTTTGCTATTGCCCTTAAAGTTGGTAAAGACACAGAAACAGCCTCAAAAATGTGGTGTTTTACATTGAACAGAAAGAAGACACAGAATAATTACATCTCCATTTCAAGAAGTAAACCAGAGAGATTCAATGTACTGGGTGATCTGAAGTCAGAGGAAGGGAAATAGAGCCTTTCAAGATTCCTTCCCAGCCTTGGTCCTCTTGTTTAATTTCTTGTAGGATGGCATCATAACTAGGCATTTTATAACATGCCAGAAGTGTATATGTATATACATATATGTGTGTATATATGTATATGTGTATATATACACACATATATGTATATATAGAATATATACATATATGTGTGTATGTATATATAATATTCCCCTTAAAATTTGTTTCCTGTGCTGGGCGCCAGTGGCTTACACCTATAACCCTAGCTATTTAGGAGTCTGAGATCTGAGGATCACAGTTCAAAGCCAGCCCAGGCAGGCAAGTCCGAGAATCTCATCTCCAATTAACCACCAGAAAAACCAGAATTGGTGCTGTGCCTCAAGTGGTAGAGTACTTGCCTTGAGCTGAAGAGCTCAGGCACAATGCCTACATGCAGAGTTCAAGCCCCATGACTGACAAAAAAAATTTTTTTTTGTTTTCTTGTTACTCTAGATTGGGATCTGACAGGAAGTCAATTAACTACTACATTGCCAGTTCTTCAATACAACACATGAGTCTCGTGAAGAAGCTTTCTAGGTCTGTTTGTTCCTTTCAGGGCATTAAATCATTCTCTGTTTGCTTCTAATGTAGTCCCATAATTTTATTTCTTAAGAAATTTAAGACAGTTTACACTTTTGAACTACTACTGGTTCAAAAGTCACCTGCCCACCTAAGAGCTTCCATGATTGGATCAAGCGCAAGGTCACAAGGTATGCACTGGACTTCAGGGCAGAGCAACTACCTCAGGTCACTGCTACTATACACAGACCATCAGGAGATACAGCTACCATGAATATATATATATATATACCTGGAGCTCCCAAAGGGCAGTTCCATTTTCAAGCTTTAAATCACAAAATCCATACTAATTCATAGTTAGCAATAAACAATCATTGTGCTACATCGTAAACCACACCTTCTGATCGACAGAAAATGAGAATGAAAATATAAAATAAAATAACAAAGACAAAATAAATGCCATAACTTAAGGTCTTTCATGTAGTCCAGCTACAGAATTGGATACAAAATGGAATAATTTAATGCAACAATACTGTTCTTTGTATAAATTAAACATTTTCCTTCATCCTACCGATGGACTGTAAATTAGAGACACTAAGTTTTAAGTCAGTGTCTCAACACAAAGTGTAAACAAATGGAGGAAACAAATAAACAAACAAAAGAACTGTTTTAAACTCTCTCCTGCCTTTCCTTTTTGGCTGATTCAGTTAGTGATGCTTAGGGGAGGGGTGCTTTCCACCTGTGTTGGAAATGCTTTTAATACAACAAGCATGCGCAAGTCTCCCAAAACTCTCATAGGCTTCATTGTGAGAATCAGCCAGTCAACAGAGGCTGTCAGTAGCCTATCTCAGAGACACAGGTGAGACTTCTACACAACATCTGCTTGTACTAGATAAACTTTTCCTTAAGCTGAGCATGGACGGCACATACCTATAAATCCCAGCTCTCAGGAGGCTGAGAGAGGACGGTGAGTGTGAGGCCATTTTGAGCTACCTAGTGAGCCCCTGTCTCAAAAATATAACTTTGTTTTCCTGAAAGGCTCCATGAAGTACCTTTGGATGCTCAGGACCTCTGAAGACAGGAAAGCCCTCATGCTTTGACAATGTAAAGTATTTCCAATACCTGCTCAGCATCATTTGTTCTTTCCACAAATTTCCTAATTCAGCTAATCAAAACTACAACGATTCAGAGTGAAGTAAGATACAGTTTACAAGTAGTGTTGAACATAAATGCCATTGTAGTGGGAGAAGGGTTGTCTCTAGTCTGACAGTGATGGCTAGACACTAAAGCTTCCAAGATAGGATGAATTAATACATAAAAACAAGGGGCTCGTTTGGGATTGGACGTTGGACAGACAAACACACACATACTAGCTGCCTTCAAAATCTATCCTCCTGTCTGAATCAATAGGATTCAGCAGAAAAACAACCTGCGTCTAGAGAGGGGTGGGTCTACCTTCACCATCATGAGCATGCACAAATTCTGCATTTCTTTTTTTTAACATTGTTTTGGATGTTTGTTTTCTTCTCTTACCCTTTTCTCCTTCTTCCTAGGAGACCCTCCTCTCCACCTTCCTAAAGGAAGTAGTCCACAGGTGGAGAAAAATGGCACTGAGTCTGGAAAGATCAATATCTTGGTCAAGGTAATGTCAAGGAAAATATTAAAAGGGGAAGTGTCTGCCATGGACAAAGTTGGACTTTATCTATAAGCCTCACTGCCAAATGCTGCTTCAAGTTTTTTGTTTTTTTTTTTTAAAGTGAAATCCACATATACAGCTTTGTTCTTTTGATTTTCCTCCTTGAGAAGGCACGCACCCTCAGAGATCTCAGGGGGCTACTATCTACTCACCAAACCTTGCCAGGCCATTTCTATCCCCCACCTGGACAAGCTGGGCCAAAACAATGGGTCTATTCACAAATGACCTGGCATTGCTTTTTCTCTTGCTATTCTTTATGTTCTAAAAAGCTTACTATGCCTTGTCTTGCTGTGGTTCTTTAGTCATTTATAGGCAAAGGATCTGGTCCCTTGTTCAAGCAGCAGCAATCAGTACCCTCCCTTCCCTACAAACTCCCACGGATGCTGCATCTAATCCATTTCATTTTCTCTCTTTTCCCTTTCTTTCTTTTTTTCTTCCTCTCTCTCTCTTGCAAGAAATTATTCTTTCTATATACCATATATAGTTCACTCTTTACAGTACAAAGTGTTAAAATGTCCAACAAAAATAAATATCAATGTTACAGTAGATAGAATATTCAATAAAATATATCCCTGCCATTCTTGATTGAAATGTTCAGTGAGACTTAAATTTCATTTGGATTTTTTTTTTCCTGGAGATTTCACGAAGTCTCGTGTTCCTGTTATTGCAGCTCATTTCTAGGGGTAATAAAGATGGGGTGGCTCTCCTCCCAGACGAAAAAAGCAAGGAGAGATAGGAAAAGAGGTTAGGGCTGGGGTGGATTTGAAACACCAGTGTCAGGAGGTCTTCCAGAGGGTTTTCCTTCATCACCAAGTAGCAGAGCTGTAGAGCTTGTTGGTCCGAATGGTGGCGTCGGAGCACTCCCCATCTGAAGAGTCGCAGTCCGAGTCTTCAAACTGCATAGGGTTCTGCAAAGGAGAAAAGTTAAGTCATTTCTACAATTCCTCTGCAAGCACCTATTGAACTGGTACTGTGCTGGGTAAAGGGGCGATAGAGAAACGTGTCTAGGTCTTGTCTGTGTGGGACAGAATTGATGAAGGCTACCATAAGGTCTGAACAGGGACACCTCTCCCCCTCTTGGCTGTTTCTGCCCAGCATCTGTGACCTTAGGTAACTGCCACACCTGGAAGCAGTCACTTTCCCCTCCTGCTAGGTCACCTCAGGTCACGTGCCTCCATCTGACTTTAGGAGGGTCCCAGACCCTGAGGTCACATCCGGACCCAGTGTGGCCACACCTCTTCCTGTCCCTGGCCTAGATAAGTCCTGGCCCAGGAGTGGGTTTTGCCCTTCCTTTCCTTTTCAGCCGTGCCTCTCCACCATGCACGGTGGGGGCAGCAGTTCGGTAAATAAACTTCTCCATCGCGTGGTGTTCTCTTCATTGGCTACCTAATGAAACCTACCTATTTAATATGCCTTACAGCTATGACACGGGAGCTGTACCTCCACACTTCTACTTGCAGGGCATTTATCTCATAATAATCTACTGAAACAGATAATATCTCATAGATAAGATAGATCTGTGGGGTTCATTTGGCAAATAGGGAAGCTGATCTTCTGAGAGTTTAAGCAACTTGTCCAAGGTCACACATCACCTAGAAAGGCTGGTGTACATCTAGGCAGTCTGACTCCTGGGGACACACTGAACTACTATTGCCCCCCCACCCCCACTATCCCGGTCTCTTTGATGGCAAAATTGTACATGAAATAAAGAATGATAAGCTGAGTACTGGTGGCTTGTGTCTGTAGTCCTAGCTACTCAGGAGGCAGAGACATGGATGACTAAGGTTTGAAACCAGCCTGGGCAGAAAAGTCTATGAGACTCCATCTCCAATTAACCAGCAAAAAGCTGGGCTGGAGGCATGGCTCAAGTCCAGCCAGAGAACAAGAAAGTTGAGCAAAAAGGAAGGATCTTGAATTCAAGCCCTTGTACTAGTTCCAATTTTTTTTTAAAAAAACAGAATTACGTGTGCTATGGCAGCATATTCCAGGGGGGATAGGGACTGAGGGGAGGGTCCAAGTTGGGAGATGGGGTGGAGAACCAGTGCGGTTTGAGTTAAATTCTACAGTGAAGAGCTCTTGAGTAGTCCAATGCTTGTACCTGATTTGGGAAAAACTGGCCTTATTTCTGGGGCTCTACTGGTCTGTATTTCTACCTACTATATGGAGGTGGAGGTGTATTATATTCACTCTAAGAAAACTGTAAGCTGGGCACCAGTGGCTCACAACTGTAATTCTAGGTACTCAGGAGGCTGAGATTTGAGGATCGTGATTTGAAGCCAGTCCAGGCAGGAAAGTCTGTGAGACTCTTGTCTCCAATTAACTGGCAGAAAATCGAAAGTGGTGCTGTGACTCAAAGTGGTAGACTACTCTTGAGCCAAAAAGCTCAGGGACAGTGATGGGGCCCTGAGCTCAAGCCCCATGACTGACGAAAGAAAGAAAGAGAGAGGGGCTGGGAAGGTGGCTCAGTGGTAGAGCGCTTGCCTTGCATGACTGAGGCCCTGGGTTCCATTCCTCAGCACCACATAAGCAAAAAGGAAAAAGCTGGAAGTGGCGCTGTGGCTCAAGTGGTAGAGCACTAGCCACAGGACAGCACCCAGGCCCAGAGTTCAGCCCCCACGACCGACAAAAAAGAAAAAGAAAGAGAGAGAGAGAATTGTAAAGGTTTTAAGGGCTTAAACAGATTTCAACCTGAAAGAGTCAGAAATGTGACAGAGAGGGGGAGGGGCCCACCTCGTAGCCACGCTCCTCCACGCAGAGCTTGCCCAGCGACATCTGCGTCTTCACACGGCGCACTGCACACTCCTTGTCAGAGAGCCCGTCCGAGTGTGAGGATATCTCAATGGGGATCTCGGGGGTCTGGGACAGAAGGTCATCCAGCTTCTCTGCCAGGCGGTCTTCAAGTTTACCGGCTAACTCATCGGGACTGTTTGAGTGGTCACTAGTATTTCCTTCCTCTCCATCAGACACGGAGAAATTCTCAGAGCTAAAGGTTGAGTAAGACTGGCAGCTGCTGATACAGCGGTGGGGCCTAGAAGCACAGAGAGCCAGAGGACCTGAGCCACTGGAGAAACCACATGCCCACATTATCAGTGAGGGTTTAGGGGAGAGGCAATCTAGTTCCCTCTGCCCCCAGAGCAAGGCTAAAAATCAGAACCGGTGGGTATGATTTAGTTTTAAAGCAATAAAGAGGTAACTCTGCCCTGAATCTTACCACCTCACATTCTCTCACTGCAGGCAGGTGGCTGGCTGTGAGCTAGCAAGAGCGCTCACTAACAACAGAATCAGCTGTTACTTTGTTCTTGGATTATCACAGCCTCCGTGATTTGTTATTGAAGCCACCGAGTCTGTGGTATTTATTATAGCAGCACAAGAGGGGCTGCCTACAAACAGCATGGCCATTCCTCCCGAGCTAGCACTGTGGAAATCAGGCTTCTCATCTTGAAGTTCCTACAGAACACATTCGGATGACCTCGGGCCTGCTGTGCAGAGGTGACCTTGCAAGGCAGCCATGGACAAGCATGCGCACAGTGAGTTCAAATCTCCCTATAAAGCTGGTGTCAGAGAGAGACCTGTGGCTGCAAGGGCAGATGTGCCCAACTCAGGATTTCTCCCATTCCACTGAAACCACCATGTGCCTGTTGGTTTTACCTCTGTCTTCGTGGAAATTCGACTTCACTATCTACTTCCCCTTCTTCTTCTGAGGAGTCATCGCCACTCTGGGGAGAAGAAGAAAAGACTTATTTATTTGGGGCAGTACTGGGGTTTGAACTCAGGGCCTCATATTTACTAGGTAGGCCCTCTACTCCTTAAGTTATGCCCCCAGCCTCTTTTTTTCCTTTAAGTTACTTAATGGGAAGGGTGTAGCACTTTTTGCTGAGGCTAGCCTTGGGCCACGATCCTCCTATCTATGCCTCTTTTGTAGCTGGGATTATAGGCATGCACCACCATTTACTTACCTAGCTATTTACTTATGTAGGTGTTGGGGCTGCATGCTTGCTAGGAAAGAACTCTACCATTTAAGCCACAATCCTTAGCAGGACTTCTCTCTCGCTCTCTCTGCCTTCTCTTCTCCACTCCCCACTACCGGTAAAGGGCATAATTTTTACTGAAAGGTATTTACTAATAACTTGATCAATGCTTTCTTTAGGCCTTCATTCTTTAACAACTTGTCCTGGGTTTTCTCAATGAGAGGCTCTGTGCCAGAAGCTGGAAGACGAAGAATTGGTACAACTTTGTGTCCTCAGGGACATAAAGGTCCCATGAAAGTGTCTAGAGGTGAGTGATGGAGAAGGTATAGATTTGGAGACAGACTCTTGTAATCATTGTCAATCATTATAATCATTGGTTCCAGGCTCTTCCACAGAAATAGTTCAGGTTTTTCAAAGCCCAGAAACAATTTTCCCCTTTATATGCTAATTATTTTGCCACCAATGTTATAATTATATTAAAACATATATTACTTAAGGTTCAGACTGTATCTTGTTTGTATTGTATTCCTCACTGCAATGTAACATTGCAAATAAAATATATGTTTAGCCAGGTGCTGGTGGCTCACGTCTATAATCTAGATACTCAGGAAACTGAGATCTGAGGATCATAGTTTCAAGTCAGCCAGGGCAGGAAAGTCTATGAGACTCTATCACCAATAAACCACCAAAAAGCTGGAAGTAAGGCTTTAGCTCAACTGACATAGAGCCAGCCTTGGGCGAGAAGCTAAAGGACAGTGTCTTGGCCCTGAGTTTGAGCTGTATTACTGAGACACACACAAAACTAGGTGTTTATCACTATAAATGCAGATAACTATTCTTTTCAGTTATAAATAGTGCTCCATGCATTTTTATTGAGCCAGAATTCTGGCAGGGATAAGAGAGCTCTGGTTGGGACACCTGAGGCCCAGTGACTGCTGGCCCAAGGTTGATCTGGAAGGCTAGGTAAGGGTTGGGGCTGAAAGATAACCTCTCTCAGCAAAGACTGCACCAGGCATCAAGTACTGAAGAGTAGCTGAAGTCAAGATCAACTGTCCTTGATACACTAGATTATTTAAAGTCTCATGAGCTTGAGTCTAAGTAACAAAATTTGCCAAAATTTCAGAGCAATTTTCCTTCTTGAATGTCAATTCTATGACCTCATGATTCCTTCCTTCCTTGCTTCCTTCCCTCTCTCTCTCTTTCTTTCTTTTCTTTCTGGGTAGTTGAGTCTAAGTAACAACATTTGCCAAAATTTCAGGGCAATTTTCCGTTTTGAATGTCAGTTCTACAACCTCATGACTTTTTTCTCTTTCCCTCCCTCCTTCCCTCTCTCCCTCCCTCTCTTCCTGCCTCCCTCCCTCCCTTTTCCTGCCTCCCTCCCTCCCTCCCTCTTTCCCTCTCTCCCTTCCTTCCTTCTTTTCTTTCTTCCTTCCTTCTTTCCTTTCCTTCTTTTCTTGTTCTGGGGCTTGGACTCTGGGCCTGGGTGCTATCCCTGAGCTCCTTTTGCTCAAGGCTAGCACTCTACCATTTGAGCCACAGTGCTACTTCTGGATTTTTCTGTGATTAATTGGAGATAGGAGTTTTATGGCTTTTTTGACTGGGCTGGCTTCGAACCATGATCCTCAGATCCCATAGCCTGCATAGCCAGGGTTACAGTCATGATCCATGGTGCCCAGCTTACTTCATGACTCTTAACTCATTTGTATTCTGATATATATTTTTCTGAATAAGAAAGGGATGGAGTTATCTTGACTGCTGAGATGGGAAGTTTCCCAAAGACCATCTGTGGGAGAGGATCTCAGTAAGAATGAGTGAGCTGCCATTCCAATGAGGCCCACTGTACAAAGGGTGTGTTCTGGGACCTACACACCCACAGATGGCATCAAAATGGTTCAAAGTTACACGTGGTAACTGAAATGTTTTAGAATTGGTCAGACTGATTAGAGAATTGTATGAAAACAACTTTGAATTGTGTATTTTAAATGGGAATATTGTAAGGCATGAGAATTAGGTCTTAATGTTACCAATGTAAGTATGTTACTGGCCACAGTAACATACTGGGGGAATGGAAAATACATTATTAGCTCAAGTCAGCTGAGACAACAAATAGTCCCATCTTAAACTTGTTTTCTACTAATGGACTAGTTGACCAAACCTGCATGGTTACATTTTAGACCTTTTCTTTTCTTCTAAGTACCTGATCAACAATGAAGAAATGAAACACTACTTAGAACTGAATGGCCAATTATTGTATCCTAAACACTTTTCATACATTTTTAACACAATAGCAAGATAAACTATAGTTTGGGGAAAGTTGCTATGTTCTCGGCCCTATTCCAAGTGTTGCCTGCATGTTTAACTCATTTAGTCCCCACATCAACCAATCATGCCATTGCATAGAGAAGGAAACCGAGGTTCAAAGAAGTGCTGAGTGGGAGAGCCCAGCTTTGAACTAAGGCCTGTCTGACTCCCACTATGGTAGAACGGCTCCCAGTGGATGAGGCTCCCAGGCCTCATGACTAAGAACTAGCTGGGTCATGCTGGTTATTCATTAAGGAACTATTTTTCAAAGTATACTGTGGAGAGAGCTAACTCACAGGGGATTAACAGATACTATTTTAAAAGCTGTCTGGTCAAATGGCTATGGGAAATGCTGTATTACACCAGTCTGCCACATGAATTCTAAGCCCCTGCTCTGTCAGTATACAAGGAATCTCCCAGGGAAGACAGAGAATGCTGCACCTCCAACTCATTTTATAAGGGAATCTTTTCTTGCAACATCTTTCAGGACTTGAGAGCTCGGTAGTGTTTTCCAAACTTTTGCTAATATATCCTCAATATATGATTGCTCATGCATCCTCTACATCTGAACCAGTCTGCCAGTTTAAAGTATACTGCCTAGTCCATCTCTTAAGCAGTGTGGGGAAATTTAAAGTGAAAGAAAGAAACTTCTATTGTGTGTGTGTGTGTGTACTTGAGCTTGAACTTAGGATCTGGGTGCTTTCCCTTAATTTTTTTACTCAAGGCTGGAGCCACAACTCCACTTCTGGCTTTTTGCTGGTTACAGAGATTAAAGTCTCAAAGACATTCCTGCCCAGGCTGGCTTCAAAGTGTGATCCTCAGATATGAGCCTCCTGATTACAGGCATGAACCACCAGTACCTGGCTCAAAACATACACTTTTTTTTTTTTTGCTGGTCCCAGGGGATCCTTTTGCTCAAAGCTAGCATTTTACCAGTTGGGCCACTGTGCCACTTTCAGCTTTTCTGTGAGATAAGAGTTTCATGGACTTTTCCTGCCCGGGCTGGCTTTGAACCATGATCCTCAGTTCTCAGCCTTTTGAGTAGCTAGGATTACAGGCATGAGCCACTGGTGCCCAGCTCAAAGAGTGTACTTCTAATGAACAGTTTCGTAATGTGTACAACATGAATGGCTCTGTCATTGTCCGGCCTGGCCTGCACATCGTCACACCTTACCTTCTGAAGGGGCCTGGTTTTCCGAGGTAGCACTGAGGGGGTGACGTGATGAGGGGTCCCAAGGGATGATGCAGATGTACAGCCACTAAATTCATTTCCTCCCATTTTCTCAGAGCCTTGAGCGTTTTCTGAGAGGGGATTGTGTGCTGGTGACTTGGAGAGGTCAGGGCTCCTCCCCGCTGGCTCAGTAGTGGGAATGTCCAAAGACCCAGACTGTTCTGGCCTGCACTGGAGGCAGGGATCATAGGGGTCAGCCTGACAACAGTCCCAAAGACCAGCCTGGCCCTGATCAGGCCCAGAACTTCTCCAGCAATCTGCGGCCATGGCTGTGGAGATGAGGTCAGGGCTAGAGCCAGGCATCTGTCTTTGAGCGTGGTTGCTGAGTGGGCTCCGCAGGGCTGCAGCTGGTCCAAAATATCTCAGGTTGTTAGCGCAGGTTGCGATGTCCTGTCTATGCATATTGAGTCTGGGCTGGTGGCTCTGAGACACGGCAGGAGGGGGTTGCTGGTATTGCTGCTGTACAGGGTTATGGTGATGGAGAGAAGGGGACTGGGGTTGGGCTTGGTGTAGGTAAGAAGGATGGGGTGAGGGGTCCTGGGCTGGTTGGGTTTTCAGGATTGCTGCAAAGTCACTATGGCTGCCTCTGCTGTTTCCCCGGCGGTGGCGTGGTTTGCTTCGATATCGGCTCTTGCTGCTTGAGGTGGACATTTTGGGACTTCCAGACAAAGGGGATGTGGTGGAAGCCACCTCTGTATTAGGAATACCTTCAGATCTCAATAGATCTGGCCTGGAGAAAAAAAAAAAAAGAACAGGCTTAATTTTTAAACACGCAAACTCATTCAAGCTGGATGCCAGTGGCTCACTCCTGTAATCCTAGCTACTCAGGAGGCTGAGATCTTGAAGATTCTGATTCCAAGAAAGTCTGGACAAGAAAGTCTGTGAGACTCTTCTCCAATTAATTAGCAAAGAGTTGGAAGTGGCTCAAGTGGCAGAATGCCAGCCTGGAGCAAGAAAGCAAACCAAGAGTGTAAGTCCTAAATTCAAGCTCAAGAACCAGTCAAGCAAACAAAACAGGCCAACAAAACAAAAACCCTTCATTCAAATTTGTGAAATACCTCCCAAACTTTTTATTTATTTATCTATTTAGTTAGTTAGTTATATCGATACTGGGGTTAGAACTCTGGTCTGGGCACTGTCGCTGAGCTCCTTTACTCAAGGCTAGCACTCTACCACTTGAACCACAACACTACTTCTGGCCTTTTCTGTGATTAATTGGAGATAACAGTCTCAAAAACTTTCCTACTCAGGCTGGCTTTGAACTACAAGCCTCATATCTCAGTCTTCTGAGTACCTAGGATTACAGGTGTGAACCACCCACTCCTGGCTACCTCCCAAACATCCTTTGATTGTTTGTGATGTTGGGATCAAACCCCATGATATTGGGTGGTCCAGTGTTGCAGCATGGAAAAACAGGAATGAGCCGAAGCCTTATCTTAGGAACAAGAGCTCAGCCTGAGCTGGTCAGCTTCAGCCATGAGGATCTAGTGGTGGAAGGATGTCACCTAATGATCCAATCCAGACCAGTGTGCCAAGACAATACACACTTAAGCCTTGGAAAGTAAAAACTAAATTCCTAAGTCCATGTCACACTGTCATCTTCCTACTCCTTTTTCCTTTGATCTGGAGTGAAGTGTGCGAAGGCTGAACCTCAGAAATGGTCACATCACCATCCTCTAAGAATGTATTTTGTGACAAGAAATGTACTCATGTAACTGTAACCCCTCTGTACAACAACTTTACGATAAAATAAAACTTAAAAAAAAAAAAGAATGTATTGTGCAGAGCTATCCTCCCATTTATCTGAATGCCAGGTGGGTACAAGAGTCTCACCGCTTGGTCTGTAGCCCGGCTTTGTGAGGGACACCTTTCCTCTTCATGAGTTTCTCCATGGCATTTGGGTGGATTATTGGGCGGACAGGGTGCCGTTTGTAAGTTCCGGGATACTTTTTTTCTACTGCTTGCTCTCGCCTGCAGGATAAAAGAAAAAGTTCCATGTCAGCCACAGTGGATAGAAAAGATAGGCAGAAAGTTCTCACAGACTAATTCTTCCCACAGAGGTCTCGCCACACTTAACAGACATAGATCATTTGAAAAGCAGGTTTAGAAAACAAAACAAAACCCAAGAAGATACTAAATTCAAATTCGCCTAACTTCCTCTTGCCCTGCAGCTCAGAACTCAGGCTAAGCCTGCCTTTCTCTTCCCCAGAACAGAGTGAGGACAGAAACACTGCTGATTTTCAACAGCTGTTGTTCTGGTTAGGATTTAGGGATTTCTGGCCACCATCAGGGGGAGCTTAGGCCATTTGCAGCAGCCACTTGACTTCCCTGAGTGGCAGTAAGCACCTTGTTAACAATATCAAGTTATTTATTATTATTATTGCCAGTGCTGGGCATGAACTCAGGGCTTAGGCACTGTCCCTGAGCTTCTTTTGTTCAAGGCTAGCACTCTACCACTTGAGCCACAGCACCACTTACATTTTTTTCTGTTTATGTGGTACTGAGGAATCAAACCAAGGGCTTCATGAATGCTACTACTAAGCCACACTCCCAGCCCCTACACCAAATTCTTGATACGAAAACCCAGGGTCACTGGACCCTGGGTTGCTCTAGTGTGTGGTCCTCGTTATCCAGCTCTGCAGCAGTTTTGCTCATTCTGCCTCACCCAGGCAGAGACCTGTGCACACCCTAGGACGAATGCTGAATGAACTATCTGCCAGTTCAGAGTAGCAGCAAGATGTAAGAGCAGTATATCTCTGCTAAGGACCAATCACTAAGGTCCTTCACCGGTGTGCATACATACTTAATGAGCTCCTTCTCCCGCATCTCCAGCTGCAGCATGATGGCACTCAGCTCCATGTATAAATTATTAGCCCGCTCAAGCTTTCTCTCATAATGTTCACGAATGTCCAGTGCATGCCTATCAAAGACAACACAGGATCAGCAAAGATGACTAATTTAGAGAATAAAGGTCCACTGTAATGAAACAAAAACCAGGATGGCTTATTTCTTTTTTTTTTATGTCAAAAATCAAACTTTATAACTTTGGTGGGGGGGACGACAAAGGAGGAAGCAACAATGCTTGATAAGAAATGTACTCATTATCTTGCCCATGTAATTGTAACCCTTCTATTCGATATTTTCACAATTTTTTTTTAAGAAAAGCTCACAGACTTTTCTGCCCCAAGCTAGTTTTGAACCATGATCCTTCGATACCAGCCTCCTGAGTAGCTAGTATAACAGGCCTGAGCCCAGCAAGTACAATTATTTTTTAATAGTATCACCCTTTCACTTGCTGGTCTAGGCGTGCTGTCCCTGAGCTGCATTTTGCTCAAAGCTAGTGCTCTACCACTTGAGCTACTGTGCCACTCCCAGCTTTTTCTGAGAAGTTTATTAGAGATGAAAGTCTTACAGACTTTCCTGACCAGGCTGGCTTCTATCTCAGCCTCCTGAGAAGCTAGGATTACAAGTGTGAACCATTTGGTGTCTGGCTATCCCTTCGCTTTTTAAAAATGTATGTTGATTGATCGATTGATTGATTGCCAGTCCTGGGGCTAGAACTCTGGGCTAGACACTGTCCTTGAGCTTCTTTTGCTCAAGGCTGGCACTCTACCACTTGAGCCACAGCACCACTTTCTGTCTTTTTTCTGTGTATATGGTGCTGAGGAATTGAATCCAGGGCCTCATGCATGCAAGGCAAGGACTCTAACCCTAAGCCACATTCCCAATCCCTCCCTCCCCCGCTTCACTTTTAAAGAAGCTTACTTTTTATTTAAAGTTTTTCTTTTTTTTCTTTTTCGGTCTTGGGGCTTGAACTCTGGGTTTGGGCGCTGTCCCTGCACTCTTCAGCTCAAGGTGAGCGCTCTACCACTTGAGCCACAGCACCACTTCAGGTGTTCTAAGTGGTTTATTGGAGATAAGAGCCTGCCTGGGCTGGCTTTGAACCGCAATCCTCAGATCTCAGCGCCCTGAATAGCTAAGATTACAGGCATGAGCCACTGGTGCTTGGCTAGTAGTTTTTCTTTACTAATATTTCTTTATTCTTAATTTTGTAGAGAATTTGCCTGACCCTGGGAAAGCACAAGATTTTGTGAAGAAATTTAACCAAGTTCTTGGTGATGATGAGAAACTGCGGTCTCAGTTGGAGTTACTTATCAGCCCAACCTGTTCATGCAAACAGGCAGATGTTTGTGTGGTTAGTAAATGATATTTTTACTTTCAGTTATAGAAATATTCATTAAAACCTTTTTTACATTCACTGCTTGTGTAAACAAAATTGTGAGGATTTGGTTACTTAAGCGTGTATCTGTGTTCAACTTAGTTCTCTTGACTATACACTCTTGACTATGTACGCTCCAATTACAGATCTAACTAACAGATTTACCTAAGCCCAAGAAACTTTTTAGGAATTGAACAAGATAAAGTGTTTTGTATCTAGTGGACACTCACTGAATGAATGCAAGAGTTTTCTAAATGCTGTTTGTGCATGCATTTATTTTCTTACGTATTGACATGAAATAACCTGTCAACAAATTACCTATCTAAATGTCTGTGTATGTGGTTTCACTTACAGATAAGGCAAATTCCTATGTAAACTTTTGTCCTCATTCTGTTCTTGGACTCCTTATTTTGTAGAAAACCATGAAACTGTCAAGAAAGAAAACTTCATCTGTTCATTTATTCAGCATTTTAAGAGACAGGGTCCTAGGTTTGAATTCAGCTTTACCATTTACTACCAATGTGACCTTTAGTAAGTTACTCAATTTTTTTGAGCTTGTTTTTCTCACCTATATATGCTAACAATCTCTTAGGATTTTATATATACTATACTATTTCCTAATGTATGGTCCTGGATTGAATTACACTATATACCTTATAGTATTCATACATGATCCATATTATTTTGGCACCAGGCTTACAGAGATCAATAAGAGAAGGATAGTTATTTTATGCCTACCTCTGCCTGCTGTATAGCATGCCTTCACATCTTTCTTTGTCTTTTTTGTCACTTGTGGAGCTTGAAGTCAGGGGTCTGGGTGCTGTCCCTGAGTTCTTTTTTCTCAAGACTGGTTAGCATTCTAATGCTGTGAGCCACAGTACTACTTCCAGTTTTCTGGTGGCTAGTTGGAAATAAAACTTTCCTGCCTGGCCTGGCTTTGAATCATGATCTTCAGATCTCAGCCTCCTGAGTAGCTAGGATTACAGATGTGAGCTACCCACCTGGTGTGGCTTGTTTGGTAGGATCTTCACTACCTTTTTGTCCAGGTTGGCCTTGGGGCACAATTTTTTTCTCTGGCTCCCAAGTAGCTGGGATTATAGGTATGCCACATCTGATAACATTTAAAGAAAGATTTTATTTGCTCTCTTTGCTTTTGAGTTTCATATTATTATCCTACAGAAAAATTTATTATACATACATGCTTATATACATATACTTTTTAAAATTATCTTCAAATGGTAAGAATTTTAACTTAACATGCTTGTTTATATGTACAATGCTTCTCCATCATTGTGACTTCATCATCCACGTGCCCACTTGTAAAGTGTCTAGTCCCATTATCACATATGTACATTGTGGATTATGACTGCTTGCCATTCCTCTCCATTTGTCTGCCTACTGTTGGAATTCTAGAGTAAAATAGCTTGAAAATACCCAAGTGATATTTGTTAGACTAGAAATGTAAAATATGTAAAACAGATGATTTGACCAATATAATCCTGAAATTATTGTATAAGTTATACAGTGCCAAGAAGTTCTTTCTGGTTTTAGAAATCAGGGAAATGCAGCCATATTGCATGCTGATAATCCAAAGCAGGAACATTAATAGTTGGAGGCCAGTATAAGCTATATAGCATGAGTCTCTCCAAAAACGAAATAAACAGCTTCGTGCCTTTGTCCAGAATACCTCTCATTATTCTTCCTTTTCCCATGGGCTACTTAACGTTAGTTATGTATTTTCTCTCATATCTTTGTTCTGATGTACAAGCCAGGCTGGGCACTTGTACACCTGTAATCCTAGTTACTCAGGAGGCTGAGATCTACTGATTGAAAACCAGCCTGGGCAGACAAGTTTGTGAGACTGTGATCTCTAGTTAACTACCAAGAAGACAGAAGTGGAAGTGTGGCTCAAGTGGTAGAGTGCTAGCCTTGAGCACAAAACTCAGGGGAAGTACCCAGACTCTTGGTCTCAGGACCAGCACCCAAAAACAAGCACATGTGGCATATGTGTATAGTCTTAGCTACTTAGGAATCTGAGATCTGAGTATGACAGTTCAAAACCAACCTGGGTAAGAAAGTCTGTGAAACTTACCTCCAATTAACCATAAAAGTTAGAAGTAGAGCTGAGGCTCTGAGGCTCAAGTAGGAGGCTGCTAGTCTTGAGCAACAAATCTCAGGGACATATGTCTAAGCTCTTGAGTTCAAGCCCAAGGGCCGACACAGTAAGAAAGAGGGAGGAGAGAGTAAGGAGAAGAAAAACATAAATGCAAATTTTAGTCTGTAATATTGTATAATTTTGATCCCATCTTTCAGGGATTCGTTCACTTCACGAGAGATGGACATTATTCAGTAATAGAATTTATAGAACGTAACTCTATTAGTTCCCTTTCTTATTCCAAGTTCTATTTTTGAAAAATTTTTAGGAAACTATTTTTAGCAAGGCATATTAATAGAGACATACTAGGTATGTGTGTGTGTGTGCATGTATATAGTGATGATTGTGCAAGAGGGTTTGTAATATTATATTTCATTTTGACTTTAGGTTTTATGTATCTACATATAGGTTCTATAAAAGGACAGCTGTGCTTGCTGGTTTATATTGCTTTGCTTTTCTATGATAGCTACTTCCAAATTTTAAGGTTTTCTAAGAAGTTTAACATTTAGTAAGATAGTCCTAAATCTGAATTTCATCTGTGCCACTTAATACCATGTTAGTCAGTAAGTAAATATTTCTGAACTTGACATTCTTTATAGTGATTTTGAGGCTAGCCAGGGCTACAGTAACTACATTTTATCTGGGGCAGGAGGGACACCTGCCTATAGGATTATTCTTAGGAAGTTCAAATATTGTCACTTGATCATATGTCCTCCCTCCAACATGTCCATTCTGTTACAATTCATTACATAACGTAGTGTTTCAGATGATAGTATTGTTAACAGTTTCTCACTCATCTTATAGGTGAGATGACAAAAACACACATATACTTTGATAAACAATACAGTGTGATAAGTATGCTAGTAGAATCATATGCTTTGGTAATGCAAAAGTGCATCACTCATTCTAGTTAAGATTGGGCATCAGAAGAAATGGTGTAAGTATATAAGATGAACATGGGTGGCCTTTGAGTTGAGATGTTTGAGACTTAAGATTTAGCGTAGTTAAATATCCTTGAGAAGATTGGAAGGAATACTTGTTAGGATTTTCGTTGTTGTTTTGTGCCGTTTCTGGAGATTGAAGTCAGGGTCTGGGCTGTGTCCCTTGAGGTTTTTTTTATGCTCAAGGCTAATGTTCTTCCACTTGATACAGCTCCACTTTCAACTTTTTAGTAATTAATTGGAGATGAGTCTCACCAACTTTCCTGCTTGGGCTGATGTCGAACTGCGATCCTCAGATCTCAGCCTCCTTAATAGCTAGGATAATATGATTCACTGGAGCCCAGCTGATTGCTCTTTCCACTGCTCCGTATTTCAGTAAGAATGATGTGCATGATACTTCAGTCTAAGAGTTAAGCCTTTGGGAATTCCTTATGAGAAATTAGTGTAAATTGTACATACTAATATTACCCCCCCCATAGGAATTATTTTAATTGGTTAAGGAGAAAATGTATGACAGGGATTAATATACATAGGAAGTGATTCTTTCTTTAAAAAATGAAAGTTTTAACTATACAAGAATGGCTTACTTTTTAACTATATTAAGA